CTCTGACTCTCTCCCAGTGTTTCTCTTCCACTGGGCAGGAAAAGATCAACTAACAACAGTAAAAGTCTCTCTCTCTCTCTCTCTCTCTCTCTCTCTCTCTCTCTCTCTCTCTCTCTCTCTCTCTCTCTCTCTGTGTCTCTGTGTGTGTGTGTGTGTGTGTGTTCCCAAAGTTCATGCCTGGATCACTTTTCTCACCTTACGGAAAGCGAAGATGTCATCCTCATCTCTGCAAGAAATCCTTTTGATTATCACGGCGTCAGTGTTGATCTGTGCTAAGAAAAATGAGGACTCGTCGTCCATTTTGAGTCGTGTGCCAGCCGCCAGAGCCTCCCTGATCTGTTCTGGTGTGTACTGCTTCACCGTAAATGGAAGATCAGGAATCCGTGACTCACCTGCCCACATATGCCACCAACACCACACAACATGTAACTACAATAGCATATCCTTTTTTTCCAGATATTATGTATGCATATCTCACAATCAGATCCGGGGAAAAATGAGAAAATAGCTCTATGAAACGTCTCCGGATTTTCGGTTCAATTATCAATATAATATGGCCCCTTTGAAGCAAACAGGGAGAAGATTGCAAGAAAGTGACGAGCAATGGCCGATAAAACCTGTTTCGCACAAGCAAAGAAGTCTTCAGTACTTCGGTATTCAAAGTGCGACCATACAGAATCAGAAAAAGTGTCCATGTTCCCCAACGTGCTACAACAGGTTGCACTCTGGTGAGTCTGGTCTAAGGGAAAAAACAAACAAAAAAAAAAAAAACACAGTTCAGATCCTTCAGAAAATTTTCCAAAAAAAACAAATAAAAAAAGTTCAGATTCTTGAATTCTTCAGAATTTTTTATTTTTATTTTTGAAAAGCTTTCAAGTTTTAACTTGAACAAGATTAGCCAGCGCAGCTCCGCCCGCGGCCAAAAGGGTCAGGCGAAGTAATTTCATTCAGTGGATATGAGAGGTGAGAGCAGCTGACAATAGAGAGTAGGTGAGAATAGAGATTGCAGTACAGCGAGAGAAGAGTAGACCCAACAGAAAGTACAGGAATACGGAGCAGAGTACAATACAGAGGAATAGAGAGTAGAGTAGAGGGCGTCGAGCAGAGGCTGCAGAGTAGAGTAGAGTTGAATTGGAACTCGAGAGCAGCATCGGCTACAGAACAGGGTCGTGACCCGCCGAGAGTGGAGTAGACAGTAGCATAAGCCACAGCGAGAAAATGAAGACGGATGACGAGCTCCAAAGAGAAAGACGGGGACTGGCGATCCAGGGGCTGTATTTTTTCATTTGTTTCCGGGGGGCACAGGCCTGACCACAGTACTCGTCAAATTCACATAAGAAGAAAGATATGGCAGTGCATCGTCGGACCTTGTAGCTGAATTTTCCCATTTTTCGTGAGTTGTGCAGAAAGGGTCATACCTGCGGTCGTAAATCCGGACGGAAGCATCCAGCCGGGCCCTAAAAAAACAGGGCAGACGTGTCGACGGAAGTCGACAGGGGACGTTTGAAGTTAGCTGCAGATGGAATCAGCGTCACATCGATGCAGCGTAGTCTGTAATAGAAGGCAGATAAGGCCAGGAAACTGCTTGAGCTGAGTATGCCGTGACGCCTCGGCTCATGACCCAATGTGCGGGCGTTTTGTTTTTGTTGTTTTTCCCCGCCCAATATTATGAAGGAAAGCAGCGGTGAACCATCATCATTCAAAACTGACCCTGTCGGAATTGCAGCCGGATTTTGACCCATTAGAGTCATCGGCAGATGAGTTTTTACACCAGGAAACCTATTTTCTATTTTTTACTGTCAGAGTGATTGGTCTGCCGTCGGGGCAAAGGGTTACGGTATAGCAACATGAATATATTTCACGACAGGAATATGTTTCAAATATTAGAGAAGAGCGGCGGGAAAGAGGTGCATGGAATGCAGTGGCGAGGGAAAAGAAATGGGAATAGAATGAATCGTAAGAGTAAAACAGTCCAGGAACACAAAGGACCTTTGTCATAGATACGAGAACATTTTTTTTTTGCAAGGGGGAAAGTAACATGTGAATTAGTGGAAGGTGAAAGCCTTCCGAGCACGAGAGGAAGTTGTATGGACGCTTGTTGAGACTTACAAGGCGGGCATGACGGTTTGTAACAATTGGAGGGCGAGAAGGAGGTGTAACAATGTGATCGAAAAATGAAGTTAACAAACACATAGGAGGAATGCAGTACTCAGAAGAGTGTTTGTATCGAATTGGATCGGAGAAGGGAGGTATTCACAATGTGTCCGCTCTCTTTCCCTTTACTCTGACTGTCTGCAGGTATGTTTGTATATGTATATATAAATCGTTTATATTTATAGAAGCCATTCATTGTATAGTGGAGGCAGACACAGTGAGGTCTATGCCGGGAGTTAGCCGAGGTAGAACCGATGGCTCGGTTGTCGAGGGCAGACACAGTGGTTTTGGAAGTGAGAATACTGGGAGAAGTGAAAGTGCGGGAGGGGTGGTTAAGGAGACGGAAGTTCTATTGCTAGGTTCGCGAAAATGCAGGTGGATATCCAGGACAGTTTAGTGAGTCCAAGTGGCACCGGAGGCGAAGGACATGGTGCAAACCAAGATGTCAAACAGAGTTCACAACAAACGAAACACATGAGATGGACATGACACGGAGCAAATGGAGATGTGAAACAGTCCTCATATCAAACGAAAAGCACTCACAATTAGGTGAAAACACACCGTATGTGTCGTTACAAAAGTCCAGGAGGGCACGAGGAAGTACGAAAGTTTTGAAAAGACGACAGAGACAGAAGTCAACGTGAGTAGAAGAAGCGCAAAAGATTTCTGACCCACGAGTCCCAACAAAAAGCAACCCGTAGAGTCAGCCGAGGTAGAACCGATGGCTCATTTGTTGACGGCGGACACACTGGTTTCGCAACTGGGCATAGTGGGAGAGGTGAAAGTGCGGGAGCTCTGGTTGAGGAGACAGAATTTGCATTGCTAGTTTGGCGAAAACGCAGGTGGATATCCAGGACAGTTTAGTGAGTCCAAGTGGCAGTGGAGCCGTAACCACATGGTGCAAAGCAAGATGTCAAACAGAGTTCACAGCAAACGAAACACACGAGAATGAAACACACGAGATGGACATCACACCGCACAAACCGAGATGTTAAATAGTCCTCATACCAAACGAAAAGCACTCGCAATTAGGTGAAAACAGACCGTATGTGTCCTTACAAAAGTCTAATGTGAGCACCTGGAGGGACAGAAGTTCTGAAAAGACGACTGAGACAGAAGTCAACGCAAGTAGAAGAACCGCAAAAGATTTATGACCACCCAGTCCCAACAAAAAGCAACGCGTAGAGCGATGCAACGATCACAAAGCACTGGACAGTGGGACGATACACAAGTAGAGCCTGGCCAGAGATCCACGGCGACAATGATCCACCGAATCGTGAGCTGAACAGATACCGGTACTGCTTTAATTGGTCGGATTGTTGTGTGACCCAGTTACCCGGAGGCCACGTTTGTTTGAGGAAGTATACCCGTGAATCCGCTGGAGAAACATAGCAGGCAATTTACACACTTCTTCGAATGAAAGACAACACAAATGTCAGTTGAACATCTGAATTGATAACCAGGCGAGGAGTATACTCCCCGAGTCATGACCTTCCTATAACCGGGTGCAGCGCCCCATAGAAGACCAAGTGGCTCAAAAGCCTATAACTCCTGGCTTTAAACAAAGATTCATCTGGACAATAGAGGCTAACAACTCAGATCTACTGGGCGAGATCAGGCCGAGAACTACAAAATAAGTTCTGTGTCGCTGCACCCACCCCAAACGTCAAATGACCAAAATTTTATTTTTCTTCTTTTTTTTGAAACGGTATACTATTCACCAATTCGCAGTAGCTGATGCAAATCCCAGGGCTCGATCCCTAATTCCCACCTTACCTGTCGATCCCTAATTCCCACCTTACCTGTGTACAGTATCTGTGTCGGCCCTTAGAGTTGAACCCGTGACCTGTGTATTTGCAACAGTGTTAGACTGTCGTAGGGTCCTGAGGTCGCAAGGGTTCGATCTGTAGACCTGTCGAGTAGGAGTCCAGTCAGGTCTAGACGTCGTAACTGTAGTTTTCTCGAAGAGTCAAGGTCGTAGCTGCTACAGTCCAGAAAGGTCAAGGTCGTAGCTGCTACAGTCCAGAAAGGTCAAGGTCGTAGCTGCTACAGTACCGAAAGGCCAAGTCTACGGCCTTCCGGAAGGTCCGAGTAGTGGCCTTTTGGTGTGTCCCACGTTTAGGTTGCGGCAAGTGGGCAAGTGGTGGAGTCTACCCATGCTGAGTCAGCAGTCCCAGTCCTAGGCAGTCCTGGTTCAGTCCAGCAAGTACTGCATGGGACTGTGTGCACTTCAGGCATGGAAAGGGGCCGGACCAACGAGCTGCAGAAGCATAAATCAAGAGGCAGCGCCCAGCCATTCATTCATTCCTGCGTGAGCCATGCAGAAGCGCTGCAAGGAGGTCTGCAGTGAGCCCGAAGACGAAGTGGGCAGAGAGACGAAGCTTAGCCATAGCGACAGGGTAGAGGCGGCCATAGCCGCCATAGCTGTAGTTAGAGCTCAGTGTGTGTGTGTGTTATAAGATTCCCCCACAACAACCCCTATTCCAACCAGATGAGTAGAACCGGACTGAGTCCGCCCAAACAGGCAGCACGAATCATAATAGAACCATTTTGAACCGTGTTTAGCTAGGGTTTCTTTGGGGCAACAGCTCCTCTTTCAACTGTGTTTAGCTAGGGTTTCTTTGGGGCAACAGCTCCTCTTTCACTTTGCCTCGCACGTACAAGGCTGCCCACGTTGATGGTGGTTGAGCGGCAGCTGCCCACATCCCCGTGTGCCTTAACGGCCCACTTGCACGTTATAATAAGAGGCAGAGTAAAGGGGAAGGTATGCTCCTGTGCACTTCAGTTCAGATCTTCATACTCCTGTTCATTTCACTTCAGATCTCCAGCTGTTCATTTCYCTTCAGATCTCCAGCTGTTCATTTCACTTCAGGTCTTCAGCATATGCTTAGTCTTTGTGTTTGTCGTTCGTCTTCATACTCCTGTTCATTTCTCTTCAAATCTTCAACTTATACTTTTGTCTGTACTCTTACTGATGCTCATTCGTATGTATTTCCTAGTTGCACATAAGGAGAGGGCGGAGGGAAGTGGACAGGAGGTAAGTTTGTCAGGACGTGAGGTAGGGGGAAAGCAGAGTGCAAGGGTAGGGCAGGCGAGAGGTATATGATGGGCTT